AAAAGACTAAAAGAGTAGTAGGTCTCCAAGTTAATTTCCCCACCAGAGTTTTACAGGTTTCCTCACGTTTCGGAGGCATAACAAAAATAATCTTATAGCTGCCACTTTGTTCCAAAGACAATTTTCGTAATAAAATAAATTTCTACAGAATTGGTTCAGTAGAATAAAATCTCTCCCCCAACCCAGGGATATTTTCTTGAAACTGAATAGAAAAAAAGAAAAACAATGCTAGGGAAACAAAGGCATAATCACAGAGTCTCTGCCTCTCTTAGCCCACCTCTATTACAAGGTGGAAAGAGTGGACTTACTTGTAAAGGACTTTGTCCTCTTACTACTTATGGTGACCTGTATTTCCCAAACACTTCCTGAACAGTATGTAGGCATATTACATGGCTCAGGACAGTAATAAGATGGATTAAGCATTCTGTACAATTTAAAAAGTATTATCAAGCCCCTTCAAAAACAAACTAAAATGGTAGGTTGGACACCTGTGAATGACTCAATGATTTCTGAGATGAACTCATTAGGACTCAACAAACATAGGGTTCTTCTAATGAAATCAAGCCTTACAGAAAGGAAACAAGTTGTGGTTTGCAAGAACTCAAAGATACTTTGGATCTACTGTAAAGCTTGCCAAAAACACGAAGAAATTCTTTACTAAGCAGACTAAAGAAGATGCATTATATTTAAAAATCACTGTCAATTTTACTAGGACTTAGAATACAAAATCTTTACACCTCTTTTAGAATAAAGAGTATTTAGATCTCACTTGTCAGGAAAATATCTTTCATTATTAAGAAAGAAAATTCTTATAAACTCGTTTCTTCTGATATGTTTCAAAGCATCTAACATAACCTCTTCAGAAATTCCACGGCACAAAAATAAACAACATGCAAACACTTAAGAATTTTACATTCTTTGAAAAACAATACAAATTAGAAAGAAAATTTTGTATGCAATCAAAGAAGAGTCAGAGCTCAAGTCTGAACTTAGCCAATAAAGGCAGATGATCTGAAGAGTTATTTTCATTTGGAAGTCCATTAACAGTCCATAAATCTTGTTCTGTAAGAAGTGACAGTCTAGCTAGAAGTTTCAAGCCACCAACCAAAGCAACTTCAGCTCCTACATTAAAGAAGCACATATACATTTAATGAAACTGTGTCAACAGATTATTGTAAATTAATCATATACTTTTTTCCAAACAACTATGATACAGAACTTGAGACCCTTCCAGAAGACAAATATGAAACAGTTTTTACACTATGATTAAAGTTTTATTGAATTATAACCTAATTATAATTCTCAAACATATAGCAGTTTCAGATGTTTTTTCTATCTCAGATTTTTTTTCTATTTCAAGTTCTGCAAGTAATTTTTAAAAGAAAATACCAATGTAATACATGTGAATGTTAAGAGGAATTTGAGTTTGACAACTACATAAGAAATTCATCCACCAATCATTCTGCAATTGCATAAAACCAGACAGACCAAGTCATAGGCCCGCAAGAAGTTTATAAATTAGTATAATTTAGTCTCAGAGTCAGCACCCACAATAGAGTAAAAGATGCATGCTCTTAATTGCTAAGAAATTTGAGATGCTGATCCATGACACTCTCCTGCCACCTAGTGAACTTCTGTCAGCATGACAACTACCAGAACCTTATACAAATTGAAAGCCGCAGGCATATTTTGTAGAGTTGATCTAGTAGGAGTAAACCACATCTGAGTGTTACTATTTAATAATAAGGTTATTCCCAGAAGAAAGGGGGAAAAAAACAAACAGGAAAAAAAGGAAAAGTAACACCAAAAAATTGGAAGAGAAAAAAAGGGAAAATGAGAAAAGGAAAAATAGTTGCCCACATTTTAGACTTCAAAGTTTTCTTAATATTTTTGTACTTTCACTAGTTTTATTAAACTGCATTTTATTCTCCACTTTAAATCCTTTGGTTATTGTTTGAAACCTGATTTTCGTTGAATCATATGAGGAAAAGTGTTTTATAACCTTTGCTTTTTGAAAACACATATTACAGACTTTTCTATAAAAGATTCAATATTCCAGGATCAACATGACAAAATTGTCTATTGTTGGCAGCATAAGCATGGTCCTACAAAGAAGGCAGCATGCCTTACTGAAATTTAAGCACAAAACTGTATGACCATTAACAACATACTCAGTTTTTGTCACGGAAAAATCAGTAAATTAATGGCAAGTAGAAACAAAGGGCAGTAGGAAAGACCTATAAATCAGAAGCTGACTGGAACTGGAGGGTAGGCTTGAGGATGTATTTCTTAGGTAATAACTGGCTTTGGGGTGTTTTACTGCCACCCTTGTGTGCAAGTAATCAATTGATTTATTCAATTGTATTACAAATCTATTTCAAAATATTTTAACTCTTAAATCTAGAACTTCATCTAGATGTTTAGCTAACTTTCTCAACCTTAAGGTTTTAGCTACTGTGCTCTCTAGCAGAATTTAAGGTTACATGTATTCTTTACCTGGGAGCCCAGCAATATCTTCCTTTTCTGCAGAGTAGAAAATATAATCCACAGTTATGGCACTTCGGGAATGACAAGTGGTCACTTCTGGAATTCCAGTGTCAGGAGAGTAATGTGAATAAACAGATGACAAGCTGAAATGGTGCTGTAAATTTGAAGATAATCTAAATTGGAAAGAAAAAGTGTTTAGTATCTATCAAGTTTTTCATGACTTCTATAATTCCTCATATTTAAAGTACTTTTTCATTTGATTTCTATACTAAGACCAGACATTAGGGCAAACTTTATTTAAATAGACCATATCATAATTTAGCATTCATTTATTTACACAGTGATATCCAAAACCCATTAACAAGGCTATAATACATGTGGGTTAAAAAAAGCTCAATATGATTTTTTAATATTTATAACATGTTTGAGAACCTCCACTCACTAATGAACATGTATTTTAAAACAACTTACGAGTTTTGTTGTTGCATATTTAAGAAAGAAAAAGTGGACTTCAGGAATGCTATTTGGGGCCGGGCGCAGTGGCTCACACCTGTAATCCTAGCACTCTGGAAGGCCGAGGCGGGTGGATCGTTTGAGCTCAGGAGTTCGAGACCAGCCTGAGCAAGAGCAAGACCCCGTCTCTACTAAAAAATAGAAAGAAATTAGCTGGACAACTAAAAATATATAGAAAAAATTAGCCCGGCATGGGGGCACATGCCTGTAGTCCCAGCTACTCGGGAGGCTGAGGCGGCAGAAGGATTGCTTGAGCCTAAGAGTTTGAGGTTGCTGTGAGCTAGACTGACACCATGGCACTCCAGCCTGAGCAACAAGAGTGAAACTCTGTCTCAAAAAAAAAAAAAAAAAAAAGGAATGCTATTTGGAAACCACCAAAAGATGTCAGAGGGGCCATATTTTCCTCTGCTTACTGTTGCTATGACATGAGATAATTTTGTACTGAATCTTAAAACAGCTTCTATAATGGTTTACATTTACCTCATACGAAAAATACATGTGATGTTATGGGTTAAGTATTTAAAGGATCATTTTCTAGTAACATATCATGAATTTTATGGATCTTTTATGCCTTGAAGGAAAATAAAAATTTTAAAAATTTATCCAACATCACCAAACATCAACTAAGTTCAAGGCACTATCTTAGGTGCTGAGGACACAAAGATAAAGATGTTTCCCCTGCTTTTAAAGTGTTCATATGTCAATGCACAAAGGTAATTCCTTAAAAATGCCCTCCAAGTTTTAGCAACTTTTTATGTCTAAGATCTTATATTTACAATATTACTAAATGTTTACATAGGTTTCCTGCAAACTATTAGCTTGCTATCAGTTTTTCAGTTTGAAGATATAAGCTATGCATACAAACACATTATATTTATATACAGATACTCAAAAGCATCATTTCTTAAACACCATTTTGTTATAAAAATGATTTAATTACTCAAAACTAAGTATTTGTCAGTCACATTAGCCTTCTTTATTAATCTTACTCAGCGAAGTTTTTACTATATTTGAAAGGTATAACCATGAATTTTTAAATATTCATTTTTAAAAATTCAAAAAAACTGCTTCTTCTCTTGCGAAGTTTTTACTATATTTGAAAGGTTTAACCATGAATTTTTAAATATTCATTTTTAAAAATTCAAAAAAACTGCTTCTTCTCTTACTAGGTTCTTACTTACGAGATAATATTTTCTCAAAACGAGGTATACAAAATAAAGATTGCAAAAAAAGGCAGATAAAACAAAAGATCCTTCTAATTTGGTTCCTAAATTTAAATGTTAAAACACAAAACTATAGAAGAGCCACAATATAAAAGAATCATGGTATTTCAAGAATCTCCCAAAGAGAAAAGATTTAAGTATCAGTCCTGCTGTATTAACATATCATTTTATCATTTTCTCAACCACAGTCCCAAGTACTCGTGTTTCTTTAATATGGAATCCTGGCATTTTCACCCCCTTCCTCTAGTGACCTTTTCCTGTAGTTCAAGAGATAAATAAAAATTATCATCTTTTCAACCGGCATATTCTTTTTTGGATCAATTCTCCTATAGATTGTTTTGAGACCAGGTAAATCAAAGATGATGGAAGATCTTGATATCTGAAAGATATTTTTCTGTGATTTAACTTTTGTTTAAATATGTAATGGCAATAAATTTGAAAGAGTATTTGAGCTGGTCCAGGTACATGAACATAGACAAGCCATTTCCTTTGTAACACTGCCCAGGTGCTTACTGTGCTTCAAACACTGTGCTTTACATGCTTTGTCTCATCTAATCCTCACAGCAACCCAAATAAGGAAACAATCTCAGAGATATTAAGATTCTTGCCAAAAACCATGCAGCTAAAAAGTAGCATAGTCAGAACTGGAACTCAGGTCTACTTGATTTAAGAACCAGCACTCTTCACTAGCACAGAATATCATCATCTCCATTTTTCATCCAAGTGATTTTTGAGAAATGATTTCTTTAATTCAACTGTTGCTTTCCAGAACTCACTTTTCAGCTGTCACTAGGACCTCTGTTTTCTTCAGCTCTGTTTGTGTCAGATCACTGTCTGTAAGAACAGAGAGAAATATATTAATACTATTAATACAGTTTTGTTCTAGTTTGCCTTAGTATAGTTGTCTTACTCTAGAAACAGTTTTCAAGACACATGTAGGTTAGGTAGATGCCTAGCTAAATGTTTCATCCTGGAATCTACATGTTTCAATGGTCTCCAGAATTAGAAAAAATAAAATACAAATAATTCCAAAGCAACATGCAAACAAATCATGCACAGTTAATTCTGGAATTTTAAAAAGGTAAATTTTTATTTTCTTTCTGGTTGTCGGTGGTAGAAAATAAAGAAAGAAAAAAGAAATTAGAAAAAGAAAAAAAGGTAAATTTAGAGCTCTTAAAAAAAAGGAATGAATAACTATATATTTATTTATATGAATATTCATCCCTAAAATGTTATCCTTTTAAAGATTTAGTTTTATGTCTTCATAGGGAATACTATTACCCAGCAGACTGCCAAAATGTATCGCAAACACTTACCTGTCTTTTCTACTTTTGGTACCTGCTGTACCTCATACACACAGTTCTGTGAGATACCTAGGTTTGGGGGCCAAATTGGAATAGATAAAATTCTTTGTCCCCGTGAAGACTGTTCCTGGCCAGATACCTAAACAAAATTTCAACAGGTATCTTAAGTGAATAGATTTTAAATAGTTTATTTATTGAAAAGTTTATGTCGTAAATAAAAGGTAATCCAAAAATGGTAAATATTACCCTTTATTCATTATATTTGTGATTATTTGTGCTTATAAAATCTTGTTCAAATACAGTTTGGAAAGCACTTATCATTCACATGAAAATGACAATCTTTTCCTACATATTTTCCTCTAATTTGGGCATCCAAATGACCTATAGCTTTGCACTAATACGGCCCATCCTTTTTTGCTACCCTGAAATTTAGTTCCTATTATATCAAATACAGGCATACCTCAAAGACGTTGAGGGTTCCAAACCACCACAATAAAGCCAATATTGCAATAAAGTGAGTCACACAAATTTTTCAGTTTCCCACGGAAAAGTTATGTTTACACTATATTGTGGTCTACTTACCATGTAAACAGCATTATGTCTAAAAATATGTACATATCCTAATTTAAAAAAAGCATTATTGCCCCAAAGTGCTAACAATCATGTGAGCCTTCAGCGAGTCATCATCTTTTTGCTGGTGGAGGGTCTTGTCTCAATGTTGATGGCTGCTGGATTGGCTGTGGTAATTTCTTAAAATGAAACAATGAAGTTTGCCATATTGATGAACTCTTCCTTTCACAAAATATCTCTGTGTCACGTGATGCTATTTGACAGCATTTTACTCACAATAGAACATCTTTCAAAATTAGAGTCAATCCTCTCAAACTCTGCTACTGCTTTATCAACTAAGTTTATATAACATTCTAAATCCTCATTTCAACAATGTTCACAGCATCTTTATGAGGAGCAGATTCCATCTCAAGAAACCACTTTCTGAATGTCTGAGTTAAAATGGGGGGGGGAAAAAACCACTTTCTTTGCTCATCTCTAAGAAGCAACTCCTCATCTGTTCAAATTGATCATGAGATTATAGCAACTCAGTCATCTCTTCAGGCTCCACTTCTAATTCCTTCTAATTCTAGTTCTCTTGCTGTTTCCACCACATCTGTAGTTACTTCCTCCACTGAAGTCTTGAACCCCTCAATCAATTTTTTCCAAACTCCTGTTGATGTTAATATTTTGACCTCCTCTCATGAATCATGAATACTCTGAATGGCATCTCGGATGGTGAGTCCTTTCCAGGTTTTCAATTGACTTTTTCCAGATCCATCAGAGGAATCACTATTTATGACAGCTATAGCCTTATAAAATTTCTTAAAGAGTAAGACTTGAGGCCGGGTCTGGTGGCTCATGCTTGTAATCCTAGCACTCTTGGAGGCTGAGGCGGGCGGATCATTTGAGCTCAGGAGTTCGAGACCAGCCTGAGCAAGAGTGAGACCCAGTCTCTACTAAAAATAGAAAGAAATTAGCTGGACAACTAAAAATATATAGAAAAAATTAGCCGGGCATGGTGGTGCATGCCTGTAGTCCCAGCTACTCAGGAGGCTGAAGCAGGAGGATTGCTTGAGCCCAGGAGTTTGAGGTTGCTGTGAACTAGCTGACACCATGGCACTCTAGCCCGGGCAACAGAGTAAGATTCTGTCTCAAAAAAAAAAAAGAGTAAGACTTGAAGTTAAATTATTCCTTGATCCATGGGGCTGCAGAACGGATGTTGTGTTAGCAGGGATGAAAATAACATTTACCTCCTTGTACATTTCCATCAGAGCTCTTGGATGACCAGGTGTATTGTCAATGATTAGCCATATTTTGAAAGGAATCTGTTTTTCTGAGCATTAGGTCTTTACAATGGGCTTAAAATAGTCAGTAAACCATGTTGTAGACAGATGTGCTGTCATGCAGGGTTTCATTCTTCCATTGACAGAGCACAGGCAGAGTAAATTTAGCATAATTCTTAAGGGGTCTGGGATTTCCAGAATGGTCAGTGAGCATTGGCTCCAGCTTAAAGTCACCAGCTGCATTAGCCCCTAGTAAGAAAGTTAGCCTGTCCTTTGAAGCCAGGCATTGATTTCTTCTCTCTAGCTATGAAAGTGCTAGATGGCATCTTCTTCCAATAGAAGACTGTTTTGTCTACCTTAAAAATCTGTTGTTTAGCGTAGCCATCTTCATCAATGATCTTAGCTAGATCTTCTGGATAATTTGCTACAGTTTCTATGTCAGCACTTCCAGCTTCACCTTGCACTTTTATGTCACGGAGATAGCTTCTTTCCTGAAGCCTCAAAAACCAACCTTTGGGCTGGGTGTGATGGCTCATGCCTGTAATCTTAGCACTCGGGGAGGCCAAGGTGGAAGGATTGCTTGAGATCAGGAGTTCGAGACCAGCCTGAGCAAGAGTGAGACCCCGTGTCTCTACCAAAAATAGAAAAATTAGCCTGGCGTGATGGCTCACCCCTGTAGTCCCAGCTACTAGGGAAGCTGAGGCAGGAGGATTGCTGGAGCCCAGGAGTTTGAGGTTGCTGTGAGCTAGGATGATGCCATGGCACTCTAACCCGGGCAACAGAGTGAGACTCTGTCTCAAAAAAAAAAAAAAAACAACAAACAAAAAATCTCTGCTAGCTTCAGACTTTTCTTCTGCAGCTTCCTCACCTCTTTCAACCTTCGCAAAATTGAAGAGAGTTAAGGCCTTGTTCTGGATTAGGCTTTGGCTCAAGAAAATGCTGTGGCAGGTCTGATATTCTATCCAGACCACTCCAACTTTCTCCATAACAGCCATAAGGTTGTTTTACTTTCTTATCATTCCTGTGTTCACTGGAGTAGCACTTTTCACTTCCTTTAAGAACTTTTCCTTTGCATTCACAACTTGGCTATTCGGCACAAGAGGCATAGCTTGGCCTATCTTGGCTTTCCACATACCTTCTTCACTAAGCTTAATCATTTTTAGCTTTTCATTTAATGTGAGAGATGTGTGACTCTTCCTTTCACTTGAGCACTTAGAGGCCATTGTAGGATTATTAACTTGCCTAAATTGAATATTGTTGTGTCTCAGGGAATAGGGAGGCCCGAGGAGAGCAAAAGAGACAAGAGCAAAAGAGACAATTTGTAGAGCAGTCAGACAACACCCGACATTTATCAATTCCGTTCATCATCTTATGTGGGCATGGTTCATAGTACTCCAAAACAATTACAATAGTAACATCAAAGATCACCGATCACAATCAACATAATAGATAAAATAATAACGAAAAAGTCTGATATTGTGAGAATTACCAAAATGTGACACAGAAAGTTAGCACATGCTGTTGGAAAAATGGTGCCAATAGAATTGCTGAGGCAGAGTTGCCACAAACCTTTAATTTGTAAAAAACACAGTATCTGCAAAGTGCAATACAGCAAAGCACAATAAAATGAGGTATGCCTGTACCTAAGAAAGATAAACTCTTCTAAAACTTCAAAATATCACTCAAAACTCCAGTGGTGGCGGGCTTATTTTGGTTAACTATACTGAAGATCAAATGAAATGATCTAAAGTAAACAGTGGGAAACACAATAAAAACAGTAACATGCGATAAATTATTCTAAGCTAAAGAATTAAAATATTTATCATTATGTAAAGGAAAACGTATAATAAAATGTTAAATTACTGTTTTGCCAACTGTATTGCCCACATCCCACATTCAAGATTCTATGCTGCCTCCTTATAAGTAGTTCCTTATTTGTGAAGTATCTGTGTCTGCCGATGCTTTTAGTTTCTTCTTCCTCCTCGTTTTGGTTTTATTTTGCTACTTGCTAATTCCTCCAAGCAGTATATTGCCACAGATAAATGGAAAAGATGAAATTCGACTACATGAATATATTGTAATTACTCATTAGTAGTTGTGGAAAATCATGATAGCTTGGTAAAATGAGGTTACTGGATCATCCAAGGTTTTCAAATAGCCATGTAGTGACTACCCTCACATTATGATGAAAACAGCAACTAAGTCCACCCCCTAATAACGATGAAGTGAGCACTTACCTTTCCTATGGCAAGTCCTTCATAATTCAATTTTCCTTCCTTTATGAAACTATAGAGTGGAGAACCAGGAACAGAATTAAAGTCACCACACATAACAATAGGACAGAAGCTGCCATCTTTCTGATGGGCAACACTCGAAATCTCTGCCAGTAGCATTGCCAGTTGGGTTAACTTTATATCACCTCGCCTTGGATTATACAATAAATGTGTATTAGCCACACAGATCGCAGGAGAGGCAGCATATGGGATTTTGGGCTGTAAGAGTAAAACTAATCCAACATTGTCTCTGTCCAACAGAGGAATATCAGGGCGGTAGAATTCCACTGGGTTCACTGATAAGAGTGAAAATTTGGAATGTTTGAAGCAAATAGCACAGCCATCAGGTTTCTTTCCTGTCCGCATCTTATATTCACAGTGATAACCTATAAGAAATAAATGAATTTAAAATAAGAGACTGTTTTCATATATATATGTCAAAACACAGCTAACCTAATATTTTTGAATAATATTTACCAAAGTATATTCTGTAAATATTAGTAATGATCT